TTTTTTTTTTCACATATCTGATCTAAGTACTAACAATTTATTAGCAATTTATAGTTCATTAATACTCACTTCTGCAACTAGCTGATCGTATTTTCTAGAGGGAAACAAAGCAGTGAATGGTAACTCTACTAGCCCCGCTGCTTGAAGATAATGAATGTGCCAATGAAAAAATTTGCATGGAGATGGCACCTGATAAGGGTTTGGCTTTTTTGATTTTGTTTTTGGGTTCACAGGGGTTTTTTCTGTTTGTTTTTCTTATGTTTTGTGTGGTTTTTTTTTTCTTCTTAATTTGTCTCGTTGAAAACAAAAAGAAAGCATGAAAAAGCTTTGAAAGATTATTTTTTTTTTTTCCCAGAGTAACAAATAAGGCTGTATTCATATATTCAAATGAGCAGATGTCTATCTTATTCCATATCCAGGTTTTCTTTGTGATTAAAACCTTCCATGATTTATTTCTGCCTCATGTCTGCTCTCAATCATAGCCTAAATCAATACTTCTATTGGATGGTCTTATTCTGAAAACACTTTTCAGGTAATGACTGACAAGATCTCTTATACCACTTGTTAATATGGTGCTTCTGATTCTAGTTTCAGAAACTTTTGCCTGTATGTCTGCATGGGCTGAGCGTGTAATTAGATTTACATGGTCAGGTAAATCATGTCAAAATATGGCAAATTTTACCTTGGCTGGCTACCAAACCCCCACCCAGCCACTCTGTCATACTCCCTTCTCAAGAGGACAAGGGAACAACATAAAAAGAAAAATGTCATGGGTCAAGATAAAGACAGAGGGATCACTTACAGGTTACCATCACTGGCAAAATAGACTCAACTTGGGAGAAATTTATTTAATTTATTGACAATTCAAAAATAAAAAAGGATGATGAGAAAGAAAAACAAAACTTAAAAGATAGCCATCTCAGATTCAGTTTACTCCTTCACTCCCCACTCCTCTACTTTCCCAACACCCAGCAGTGCAGGACGATGGGAATGGGAGGGTTGTGGTCCATACACAACAGCTTCTCTCTGCCACCTCTACCTCCTCCACACTGCTCCACTGTGGTCCCTTCACAGGCTCCAGGCAGTATCTGCTCCAGTGCCTGGAGCACTTCCTTCTTCTTCACTGACCTTGCTGTTGAGGGCTGTTTCTCACAGTTTTTCTCCTCAGTCTTCACTATCTGTGTGGCATTTTGCCCTTTCTTAAATACATTTTTGTAAAGTTGCTACCAGCATCACTGACAGACTCCTCTATGGCTTCAGTGGTGCCACTGTGGAGCTGGCTGGGACTGGCTGGGATCATCATGGTGGAATCCCTGGTCTCTTCTCACAAAAACATCCTACAGCCTCCCACTGTCAAACCTTGCCACTAATACCCAATACACCAGGTCGTAATATTTTTTTTCTCTAATTTTGTTTTAGTGGGATCCCTTGGATCAGATCTTTTATTGCTCTTGTTGGCAGCAGAAAATATGGAAATGTAATATTACTGGCTTATGAACTTAAGTTAATTTCCCTAATCACCTCCGTACAGAATTATTTGAAGTCAATGCATTCATAGTTCTAGCCCCCAGCAGTATAAACACTTATAATAATTATGTCTGTACCTGGTTATTGGCCTGAGGCTTTCAGAGATGTTTTTTTCCCTATATTAAAATCTATACAGTATCATTTTGTCTACCTAGTGCATTAACTTTATTTCATTTTCCCATGCTTATTCTTACTCACAAAAAAACATGTTCACAAGCTTGTTAATACCTAAAATACATAAATTAATAGTAATATTTGATAAACTTCTCAGGAGCTCTTTATTTTTAAAGTCCCACACCCTCTCTCTCTCTCCTTCCCAGCTGTTTCAAAACATGTTGCAATGAGGCAATTTCACAGCACATATTAAACAGAAAGCATAACAAAATCATAGTAGAGATTTTTATCACAGCAGTTATAGCAACAGTAAGTCAAATACATAAATCTCTGTTGCACTATTACCTACAGATGAATTGGTACTAAATAAACCAAAGGCACTTCTGTTGCTCCACCACCTTCACAGCAATGTAGGTGAGAATGACCAGGCTCTAGTTCACTGTATTCTCCTTCTTGAGCTTCTTTTAGACAGACCATTGCTTTCTTCCTTTGAAAGAAATTGTAATACAGTGAAGTATTATGGTGAAGATATCAACAGAAATTTCATCTTGAAGTTTATAGTTTTCTCTTACAAAATAGAGATTATAACATTTTTCCACCTGCCCTACTGCAAATTTGGAGAAGTGTGATTAATTTTTAAAAAACCCACTCTTATCTGCATGCATGTAAGAGCAGGTTTCGTACTAGTGGTTTTGTTATTGCTGCTGTTACTGTTGGTTCTTTCATACTGTATAGTTTAAAAATATAATTATTAATAACAGTACTTCATTTGTGAGTAACATTTAGCATTCATGGTTAATTAAGTAGTGTGTTATGCAGACTTTATAGTAACACACCCGAAGATACTCTCTCCAAAAACTCTATCCCACTGAGAGACAGAAGTTACTACTACCTCAGGAAAGAATGGTCTTCCATTTTTCTGTACTTTCTCCAGTCTCATCCACATTCCACATTCCACATTTCACATTCCACACCAGTAGCAGCAGAGAGAAAGTACAGTGTGTCAATACATGCACATATGTTCTGTGTAAGCACATATATAATTTATAATTTAAGCACTACATCTGTGCATTCTATGAATGTACTCATATTTTTTGGTATAGTGCACTGCTTTTATTTTAAAGAAATATTAGTGCATCTGCATGCAGTACTATTAATATATTTTGTATATTATAATCTGTGAGATTTAGTAACTGTATTTGGTTTGGTCTCAGGATCAACTAAGTCTCAAGACAGTTATCATCCTTGCAAACATATTTGAACCCTGAATATTACAAATGACTAATGAAATCCTCAGAAACTTAGAAATATAAAGCCTAAAATTATGCAAATTTCACACAATAGCATCGAAAACGTACTTAGTAGAAAAGAGAAACTGAATGTTTTAATAACCTCAAAGTTATTTCACAGTAGAGACTTTTCATACTGACAAATTTGTTATAAAGCACAAATATCTCAAAACAGGTTTTCCAGAGAGCACTTTATCTGTTAGGTTGTTCTGGTGGTTTTACACCTAAACCCAGACATATTCTGCCACCTTAGCTCTATCAAAACAAACATGCTTTTTGACTCTCAAATTCTTACTCACGTTTTTTCCAAGACAAAATAAGCAACAATGTGAATATGAATATAAAATAATCTATCCACATAGAAACTCCTGCATGCTAGCAACAAATTCTGTGCTTAGTTCATGTCATAGCAGTATATTAAGCCATCCAATCAAAACCAAAACTCCACTGCTTTTAAAGTCCATTAGTTTTCCAAATAATATGATCTGAGACAATTTTTAACCAATTTTAATGAAAATAATTCTATTTAGATTGTTATCACTACTGATGAATAGATGTGAGAGAGCACTCCTTTCTCCAGCTGGACACTTCAGAAACATTCGGAGGGTAGGAAGTTCCTCATATCGTTTCAAATTGAGTTATATGTCTTGTAATGACTAGTTACTGACTTGTTTACATGATTATTATCACAGACTTCTTTAAAGAATGAGACATTAAGAATTCATCTGTGGAAAAAAGGAATTCTGAATACAAAACAACCCTTACATTTTAGATGCTAACTTAAATAGGTAGGTAAGGATGAGTTTTATATAAGGAGATTTACTAAAGAAATTTGCAAAATTTTGGAAAAAGAATTCTGGAAAATAAGCTGGTAGTTTGGGGTTTTTAACTAATATTATACTCTCTCCTGGATCCAACTTCCCTGTTAACATATTAAAATTTAGATGTTTCTGTTCAGAACTGATCCCAGCTATTCTTATATCTACTAAATAGTAGAAGGACTTTCAGGATTCTAGTTTCAAAGCAGAATCAAAGTGATTGGACACTTTTAACTTTTAAAACAAGCTAAAAGTGGAAAAAAAAATGTTGAGGCAAATATATGTGTTAAATGTTCTGTGAAGACCTAGTTGAAGTCAACTTTTTGGCTTGATTTTGGTGAAATTCTTTGGCATTGGAATTGAATGCAGCATTTGCAGGACTGAATCTTGATTAGCCATAAGTAAAGCATGTAAGTAAACATGTGTCCTGATTCAGCTAGGATAGGGTTAAGTATTCCCAGCAGTGGGGAGGGAGTTCTAGCTGGGTTATTCAATACCATGCTAACATCAGATCCGGGCGCCCAAATGCAGGAAGAGCATTGGGATGGTTTGTGTTCATCGTCAATACCCTCACTGCTGTATCCGTGTGGTATATCTCTTGTTCTGTTCATTGTTATTACTGTTATCGTTATTGTTGTTTTTTGGTTTGTTATTGTTGCACTGTTGTTTTAAACTTTTCCTTATCTCAACCACGGGGTTTGTATCTCCCTCTCTGCTCCATCCAGTCCGAGAGTGGGGGATGGCCAGAGACAATGTGGTCTCTCTCAGGTCCTGGCAGGGCCTAAACCACCACAACGTGGAAGGTTTTTGAGACCAGTCTACAAATCCCAGTGCAAACTGGTCTGACCCTATTGCTGACCCTGCTTTGAGCCAAAGTTTGGACTAGATAACTCCTGAGGTCCCATCCAAGATTAATTATCCTATGATCCTGTGATTATTATTCATATCATTTTATAGTAGACATTTTGCTTGTGTTCTCTGACTTAAAAGGTTACAATGACCTTTTTCCTGTAGTCTTGTTATCTGTCATTCATAAAATCAAGAAATTGCTTGAAATCTGATTTGGTTAAACTACGTGAATAGAATAGTTTTATTTTTGCCACAGACTTTATCTTGAAAATGTTTCATAAAATGGATGATAATTTTCTAGTATGACTCACATTCATATCCCTTCATCAATATCCATGTTATAAACCATGGCAGCTTTGTTAGGGGTCTGTCAATTTTCCCTCTTATTGAGTTGAGCTGCATGTAATGACTAGCTGGTAAGGTGATAAAATGTTGGAATTTATACTTTTCAGGAAGTGAGGGGTGAGGTGTTTGATCAGATGCCTTTCTGAAACTTCAAATGCTTGTTCCATCTGATCTATGGATTGGTCATCTCCAAACTTTCTAAAGTTGCTCTTGATGTCTGCCTCTCCCTAAACCCAGAATATGTATTCTTACAGGACATATGAGTTCTACTTATTTTTGTAAACCTAAGAAAATAAAGGCTCTTATAGATGTTGACTATTTTGATGTTGACTCCCATTTTGTTTTGAAAGAGAATAAGCAAAGAAGAATAATCACCATCTCCTGAGTACAGGAATGGAAACAATCTTGACTGTTTTCCTGAATAAAACATGTAACTCCCAAAGTTAACGTGAAAATGAGAAATGCTTATTCTGTTAATTAGTAAGGTCTACGTAGTCTCATTCTTCCATTAGTATACCAGAATAAGAATGTGATATTACACTTAAGTGAAGATGCTATTTTAAGGCACCTAACTTGATAGGGTTTTGTCATATTTGACATGAAATTTCCTTTTACATAAATAAGAATATAACTCTTGTTGTCTCTCATATTCTAGAAATAGACTATATGTAAGAAACTACAAATTAAAAATTTTAAAGAAGTATTCTCTCCCTTATTTTCAAACCTTGAAGTAATTTCAATGGCTTGTATGAATTTGTCTTGTAATTTGATATGTTTTATTGTGATATCTAAGGAAAAGAAGCAACATAAGCTGATTTATTACGTACATTCTAAACTAACCTTTCTGAGATTTATATTGACACATTCATTAATGATGATTTCAGGATGGCACTGACATAAATTTGAATAACACATAAAAATTACATCAAGATTCACTACCTTAGGTGTTTAATACTCTCAACTCGTGCTATATTCAGCTTTTATTTGTTGAAAAAAAAATCAAAACAATATCTTGTTATGCTATCTTAAATGATTCATCTGTGAGGACTGAATCATGGACTCAGCACTAAATATCTGCTTAAGTACTCTATTTCAAAGATATTTAGACAGATCATAAATAATAATAAGGAAAGTGGAAAATATTAAAAATATCTAAGCATCATGACTGTAAAATGTTTTTATAACATACTATCTGAAAAAAAAAAAAAAAAAAAAAAAAAAAAAAAAAGTACATGTCTTCCTTGGAAATGAAATTGGAGGGGAGAAAAAAATATATACTTTTTTTTTTCTTTTTTTTTTTTTTTCAGAATATTAAGAGAAGTTTGTATTCAATTTCCATATGGGAAATGACTGATGGAAATTTTATTCACAGAGGCAACATTTCACACAGACTTTCACCTGGAGTAGACCAGCATGTGTTGCACCAGAATGCAGTTGCATAAGTTCTTCTTCTCCAGTATTTAAACACTTAAAAAGATGACATAGAAATCTGCAAGATTTTATTCAAGGTTTCTGAATATGATAAAATATCAACATAGTGCAGAGGGTCAGTGTTCTGAATAATACTTTCCAGACAAAATGTATGTGCATATTACAAAAAAAATATTACGCTGAGCCTCCATATTCTAATGAGTTGATTTTTTTTTTCCTATTTTCACATCAGTGACTTTCTGCATAATTGAGATATTGAAATGCATTTAGGAAAGACAAAAAGAGTCACGATAGTTTTATTCTGTCAAGTCTAAAGAAATCCTGACTGAGCCCTTCTGAATGAATTGGAAAACAGCCCACTGAAACTCTACTTCCATGCTTGAGTGCTTCCTGTAAGAGCGGAAGACTATGCATGAGTATACATGCAGGCAGAAGACAGTAAGGCAGATGGCCTTGCAATGTGATAGCTGGGTATTGTTGGAGAATGGCTTGAAGGACAAGGCCATGGGTCTGTGCAGGAGCTGATTACAGCCATCTGAGGTAAACGAAGGAAAAAAAACAGGGCACAGTTATGCTAACAACAGACTGTTATGTTAACAAAGAGAGAAACTGAGGTACACTATGGCCTTGAGTGTGATGGTAAACAGCCTTGGGAAAGTAAGCAAGTCAGAGGAAGGAGGATGTTGTGACATACCTGAAATGCCACAAGGGGTTGGGATATTATAATGTAACCTTTTACATGTATCCAATAGATTTGTGAGTAGTATGCGATTATTGTAGAGTGCTTATATAAGGTGTGATTTCCCTCAATAAAGATGAAGTTTGCTCTATCATTCATATCGAATTGACTGTTTGCTTCCTCCGTCCTCTGCAGGTTATGTTACCCTTCTCAGCTAATTTTTAATATTCACTAAGGGAAGTAGACAAAACGATGCATCTTTAACAGGTTCATAATCTACAAATATACATAATCTGCTTTTTAAGATTTAAATCTTTAATTAGCCACAGTTTGTTACAAGTTAAAAAAAAAAAAAAAAAAAAAAAAAAAAAGTAGTTTCACGAACAATACATTTTTTGTGTATGTACATTTTTTCTTTAAATTAAAATGATGAGTACAGATGGATTCTTGTATTACTTAAGAAAGTCAGAAGGAATGAGATAAATACACCATTACTTATTTTTTAAAAAAAAATATTTTTTTCTGCCTCCAAGGAGAATGTTCGTGAATGTCATTTACCTAGACAATAATTGGCATTGCTGAAGCAGAAACATATCCATCTACTATGTGTTTATCCAAAAAAAGTGTACACGTGTGATATGCGTATCAGCTATGAGCCAGAAATCTGTGCCCAGCTATGTCCTAGGCTGCATCCAGAGCAGTGTGACCAGCAGGTCCAGGGATGTGATTATCCTTCTCTACTTCACTCTTGTGAGACCCCTCCTGCAGTGCTGTGTCCAGCTCTGGGGTCCCCAACATGAGAAGGACATGGGCCTGCTCAAGTGGGTCCAGAGGAGACCACAAAGATGATCTGGGGCACTTCGCTTCTGAGAACAGGATAAGAGTTGGGGTAATTCAGCCTATAGAAGAGAATGTTCTAGGGAGACTTGATCAGGAACTGTAGGGATAGGATGAGGGGTAATGGTTATAACTAAAAGAGATTAGATTTATATTAGATATAAGGAAGAAATTCTTCCCTGTGAGGCTGGTGAGGCCCTGGCACAGGTTGTCCAGAGAAGCTGTGGCTGCCCCCTCCCTGGAAGGGTTCAAGGCTAGGCTGGATAGGGCTTTGGACAACCTGGGCTAGTGGAAGGAAATAGGTGATCTTTAAGATCCCTTCCAACACAAACAGTTCTGTGATTCTATGACAAACATCCTTTCTCTGTTATGTTAGTGCAGGAAATAGAGCACCTATCCTGAAATCTGTGCTCACTTGTAAGTCAATTGCACTACTGCTGCGCTCATAGGCCAAGAGATTTTATTATAATACATCAAACCTTTCACGTTTTTTTCTTTGTCTACTGCTGAAGATTTCTGTCTTCCATTTGCTTTCCTACGCGCAGACAATATATTGCCAAGTCAAGATTTCAAGATCTCATACAGTCTAGAGAAATATTAAATATCTATTTTAAAGATCTTACAAAAATCTAGTTTTAGTCCTTTTCTATGTTGCAACTGTCATGAATTCTGGAAATGGTTGAGTGACCTAAGGTCATGAATACTTATTTATGATGGGATAATTCTTGCTTTGAAACAGAATGTTTCATTTACATACCTTACACATTATTTCATCATTTGGAGCCTAGGGAAGTTAGTTGGATACTATATTATTACCTGTTATCTGACATTCTAGTGCAAGCACACCCGTATTGAATTACTCTACCAAAAAAAACCCCACCCCACCCCTAAATTCAAATTTTTAACTAGAGGTGAACTCACCTTTGAGATGATTGCACCAGAGTAATCAAATCATCTAGGATAAGTAGTTCATTTAACACATTGTCAAGCAGAGGATGAATATGTTGATATCTTTGGATAGCATTCCTCCTGGAGAAGAGCCATTGACTTAAATCTAATGAAGAAGATTCCATGAATAGGAGAGGGAGACCACTGCACAAAGAAACTAATTGGTAGTTGTCCTGAGTTATTTACCTGTTAGATGTCTTTTGTGTTGTAGGAAGGAGTAAAGCTTTATTGTTTTCAGTCTTCTTATTCAATTCCTGTGAATCAGGGGTGTTTGTTCATTAAGACAACTCTGAAAATATAATTTGGTTGCATGGATTTTTTTTTTTTTTTTTTTTTTAGGTTTTTCCAGGTAACCCAGCATTTCAATGGCAGAAGCACTCAATAAAGTGATGTAATTCTACATGTAAGTTAAGCATAACTGTTAATTGTGACAACTGTGAAGAATAATTACTACTTGTTATAATTAATCTTATCAAAACTTTTTATTACCTCTAAAAAATAGAATTCAAACAATAGAGAATTTACACTTTGTCTTTTCTTATAGACCAAATCCAAGAAAGAATCCAGTGTAACGTAAGAAAGGTATCACTATTTATTAACAAGTTATGTGATGGTTAAACTGTATGCAAATGTTAAAGAAAATTGATAATATGGAAATGAATTGGTAGCAGTTATTAATCTTCAATTGCAAATAGAAAATAAAAACGAGCTTCGTATGATAGTGAACAGAACTATGAAGTTCTTGAAAGGAAAGGCATATGTATAAAATTACAATCCTTCCCATTTTTAACAGAAACACATGTACACTATATCTAAAAAAGAAAAGTTTAAAGAAGGGACATACTGAGACTAAAAAACAGCAGAAAAATTATTTTGATTTATTCTGAACACATAATAAATTCTGTACTGCAGGTGGCAATGAAATTAATGAAAGAAAACTACTGACAACTTCCTATACTGAGTGTTGCATTTTCCCAAACATGTATTTTGAAATATTGCTTGGTTACCTAAATTCTTCAGCCTGTCTTCTGAAATCGAAGCATAAAACGTGGAAGACTGAGATAGAGATCAAACAATTGGAAATCCCTACATACAATACAGGAGTTCCCAAGACAATTTAATAATATTCTACTGCAAAAAACCAGTAGAAATTTCTCAGGGATGCATCACTTCTGTGTTTGGTAAGGACAAAATACTGTAAATTGTGTAGTTTAGAGAATTTCCAAAGGAAGAAGTCAAGCCTGCAAATACATTTTCTCCCT